ACAATATTTGTAACTTAATAATTAATTGCAGAAAGATGTATTCATATGTTATGGAGTAGTTACAGCTGTACAGTCCACCGTTTACAACTGGCCCTTCAAGGGAAACTGTATTGCTGATGTGTAAAAACAAACACGCTATATCTGAATCTCCAAACTTAAGATTTTTTTTTTTTTTTTTTTTTTTAGAATCCAGGTTTATGGCACACAGGGCACTTTCAGCAACCTCTCAAGTTGATTATTATTTCCACTTGCATTTTCCTTTTCTTTACCCAAGAACCATCTTGTCAAAAATGTCCTCCCTGCATGTGTAATAGTGCCTGTGTAAGCAGTGATGCACTAATCTAGGCAGCGGACAATGAGGAAAAAAAAAAAAAAAAGATACCTCAATAAAAGCAGATCTCCTGGCTGCCCACGGTCATGAAGGAGAATAAACAAGGTTAGAGCGGAATAATTATGTGGAGCTGCTTCCTGGTATTAAGAGACTGACTACAGTTCAGTTGCATTGCACAGACACTAGACACAGTTTGTCTGGTGGCTCAGGCACAGGAGTAAACACAGGTCACAATGACACCGTGTACTTGAAGAGAGTAATACTTTAGGATAACCTCACTACATGTTTGTAGACGTGGACCATTTGTAACACAGTAGGTGGAATTAGGAGCGCTGTGTATCTGAAAAATTCCTTCATCCATTCAACCAGTCTAGTCCAGTTTTCTCCATATGAAAGTTTAAGGGTATTTTAGTCGCAACAAGCTCAAATTAGGATTCAATGTACAAAAGGTAAAACTAAAAAAAACTAAAGAAAAATCCCCTTTAGTCAATTTTGAGTTTAAGGACCATAACTCTAATAATATTTAATAATAATATCATTTTATCAATTATTTTAAATTAATTTATATGTTTGTATTAAATTGGTGGAAATCTTGAATATATTTCTCCATTGACTGTGGACAATCTTAGTTTTTCCTGTCTCTTGTCAAGTGAAGCAAAAATGACCTGACTTCTTCTCTGATTTATAAGGTTAGTAAATAGTTGGTATATCATGATGTTCACTACTGTAGGACTTGGTTTGATTAACAGCCGGTGTCACAGTCAGTGAACTGCTGCTCCTTCAGCTCTGGCTACGATACACATCCTGCTCCACCCTCTCGTCCTACTGTGGTCAAATCGTACGACTTGGAGAATGATCCTTGAATCTTTAGAAACATTAAAATTCCTCAAATATCAGCGTGTATTTAAATTCATAAAATGCACATCTCAGTTCAGGTTTGCTACAGATATCTACAGTGTTCCAAACAACACAGGAGCTGCTGTTGTTTGTTTGTTTGCAGTGCAGACAAACAGATTTGGAATTATCATTTGTTTAGAAAGGACACACACAGTATCCCATCACCAACCTGTCTCAGGATCAGTGTGTTGTTTTGTGTTGAAGGGACGGCGTCAGTCACTGAATTCACTTCTGTCCATTTTTCCTAATCCCTGTTGGAAAAGATTATTTTGCATCAATGTGAACTTTACAAAGCTGCTGCCTGCAGGCTGTGGAATCAACTGTGAGGCCGTTGAAAAAACTAACACCATTATTTACCGACAGATTTGAGGTCTTAAATGTGAGGACAAGGATCTGTCAGAACATTTCAGTCAAGATCCTTTTAATCAGGATCTTCCATTGGCTTCTGACCAATAGGATGTTGAGGTTGTTGGAGTTTGCAGTCGTCTCCGTTCCCCCTGGGGGTTGTGATATTGTCAGCTTTGTTTACTGTTGACTCAGGAGCAGGCCCGCAGTTGTGTATATTTGTCCAGCAAAGTGTCACCGTCTTCAGATTTATTTGAAGGAGCCTCTGTAAAATAATCACTGAACTTGGAGACATGACTTGGAGCGTCGCTCATGGACTCTGCTGAGTCCATTTCCTGCTGGCAGCTAATGGCACTAACTTGTTCTCCCTCGGCTCTGAGTTGGTGACAGATGGCCGTGAGCTTCTTCATAAGTGCTGCCAACAAACTCTGGCAGCAGGAGAAGGTTTCTGTTATCAGGGGCAGGTTAAGCACTGGCTCTCACTTTATACTGATACACAATACATATATATATATATATATATATATACTCTGCACCTGGGGATACTGCAATTAAAAGTAATTTATTTTTCTAGTTTTACATCCATAGAAAGTTTAATGATGACTTTTTCTAGAATGGGTTTGCACGGTATGGCTAAACTGATGGCCCGTGGGCCAAATGGAGGTCACCAAAAATGCCAATCTGGCCCGATACACATTGGATAATAATTTTAGTCAAAAAATTGTTTTTTATTTCTTTTTGTATATTCTATTCTCTTCGTGATGATGTGTATGACTTCCTAGTTTAGTGCACAGTGGGTGTGTAACATGGAGCAGTGTGGAATCTTAAATTCCTTCCACACTGGCTCTTTTCTCCTGGGATTGGCAGCAATCTGCTTAACGCATGAAGAAATCTGTGACAGTCACTAATTATGACAATAGCAATCTCAGTCAAAGACAGTGTTTGCGTCTGCTCGACGGGAATAAATATGCATGTATTTATTTTAAAGCTGCATTTCATGAATAAATAGTGCAATAGTAAAAAAAAATCCAAACTTCATGATGTGCATATTTGACACGCCTGACGGAGATTTAATTGAAAAGAAAATTATTTATTGTATTTTTACCGAATGAATTGTGTTTAAAATCACATGACTCCTGACATGTCATGAGCTCCTGTTTTTATACACAGTTCTGGCTCTGCACTGTGCTAAAAAGAATTTTCCAATTGTATCAAAGGCTAAATAATAAACAACACTCGATCAAGTCGTTCAAACAAAACTGGTTCACCTTCTCAGCCGTTACTAGAATACAGCCGGTTGTGCTTAAAATAAAGAGTTGTAAAACAGAAATAAAGTGTTGCTCAGGAGGCTGTCACAGTGACAGAGCCTTTAAATATAGCACCTTTAGCCTTTAATAAAAAAGTAATTGTCAGCATGACTCATGTGGTGGATGTCATTTGTCACTGCTATCTTAGATCATGTGCTGGAAATAGATTCACTGACATGTCCATCTGTTAGTCACCTGGTCATATGGATGGAACCCTGCATCCAACTGGAATTGCATCGTCCCCATCATACCAAGCCTGGAAAAAAAACCTTTTAAAAAGCTGGGAATTCATAACGTATAAAGCCATTAGGTAAGCATCGATCCATTAGTGGAGACTTTTGCCTTTTCCAGCCCTGCAGCCAAACATCAGGCAGACAGGCTCTGTGGAGGTGGGTCAGTGTAGAAATGATCTGGTTTATAAATGATAAAGATTCCTTAATATAATGAAATATTTCTATCAAAAAATGAAAATGAAAAAGTAATTTAATTGAAAAAATGTGTTTTCCGTTTTTTTAAAAAAAGGAACACTGATGTCGCCCTCTAGCGGAATGACAGTTGTTAGAAGTGGCCGTCAGCTTGAGTTTCAGTTCCCATCCTGCTTCAGTCGTAATGACAGCTCTGATGTATTTTGGTAAATGAATGCCACCTACTGGAGGGAATTTCTCAGCAGTAAAGTTTTTAAGAGACAGATGACACAACATCCTGAAGATCAAGTAACAGAATAGTTGTGTTATGTAATCAATTTTCACACTTATTTCAAGTTACTCTGTTATGTCTTATTTTGATGTACATTTATTAATTTTCATTACTTATTTTAAGTTACTCTATGTCTTATTTTGATGTACATTTATTACATAATAATAATATTATTACATTTAACCACTTGTGTGTTGATGACGCAGGTTTCTGAGCCTGGCGTCGTACGTCATGTCAAATCATTGTGAAAAGATGAGGCGTGGTATCTTAAATATTTGGGAGTGGTTTCAGTGTGTACCTGGAGACGCAGACGGATGATAGTCGCTGTTAGCTACTGAGGTTCTTTAACAGCTCGGTCGGAGGTTTGAGATGCTGTAAAGGCACTGGTGCAAATACCTCTACCAGTGGGATTGAATGTGAAATTGCCGTGACCATGACAGCATCAGCGCTTGTTTTCCAAGGAATGTAGGAATGTAGGAGTCAAGTGTGTTTTTGATGCTAAACATTTGAAATTAGTTCATTAAATGTGCCTTTTATATGACACAGGATAAACAGCTATTCTCACGTTATAATATAATAACCCCCCACCCACCCTCACCCACCCATGTCTTGTGGATAGTGAGTGTTACAGTAATTAGGCAAATTGCAATTCTCAATTTCATCCTGTGCCCATTCTAAGCTGCTGTGGTATAAACAGTTTAATTGAGTTTTCAGCCTTTTAATTCTCAAAAGTGATCTCCAGGGCTACAGAGCTGTTACTGTAGCTCCTGCTGTGGATGTTTTTCAGGGCATTTTTGTGTTTGTTTGTTTTTTGCATTTGTCTTTTATCTCTGCATGGGTTTTTTTCAATCTAAAAATGCTTTCAACCTTGTGTTTATTTGGATTGCCTGTGAAACATCAGGTCGTCTTTGGTGACTAATTAGGATCCTCCGTGAATTTACAAGATCAAACCGACACGGCAGCCTGTAGTGAGTGCCAGAATAACTCTCCAGGTCGAATCGTGTTCTTGCCACTCCTTCATCTTCTTTGTCCTTTATGGCTGAATTCCATGTTAAGCTCACATTGCTTTTCTCCAGTAGTGCTGAGTACTGAAGTTTATTTGATAAAAATATACTTATTAAATATTGGCCGGCCTGAGTATATGTCTATTTTCACTAATAGTGATGTATTTCTACTGTACATATATTTGTTCAGAAATATAAATCATGTGTCATAAAAAGACCAATTCAATCTCATTTCATTGTGACAATCAGCCCAGAAAAACAGGCCTCTAGCTCCCTCCAGTGGCCATGAGGAGAAAGTCCACCACTCCCATTTACTTATATCATTTCATTCACTCTATTAATCCCTCATTTTTCCAGTTTCTCTCTTTCCTGATGCTCAGTATGTTGATCTTCTTATTTCTATCTTCTTTCTTTTTTTAGAATATGCCAGGACATAACGATGAGCTCCAACAGCACAGACCCTGGTCTCTACCTGACTTCAGACACCTCACCAACGTTGGCCGGAGTCTATCCACAGTCCAATGCTCTTCACCAGGCGGAAAGCGGAGGCGCCCCCTGGTTTGTTTTTCATGTAAATACCCTGGATGACAACTCATCTTCTGCCAGCCAACTCTTCAACCTCACCTTAGAATCCCCGGATGGGAATGGAACCGCGGACATCAGTCCCTCAGGTGGCCACCCAGTGTGGCAGGTGGTCATCATCGTCCTCCTGACAGGGATGCTGTCTCTCATCACCATCATTGGCAACATCCTGGTGGTGGTGTCCTTCAAGGTGAATCGCCAGCTCAAGACGGTCAACAA